TTGTCAATCCCCCCGATGCCCGCCTGTATCCCCGCTACCCATCCCGGGGTGGTCTCGCGGGATACCGGAGGCCCCCTTTCCCGACCCCCTACCATCCTGGTGAGCTCCTGTTCCTCCTCTTCCTCCTCGGTGGACAGACTTGCGATGGTGCGCTCCCGTCCCAGTCCTCGGAGCTGTGCGCGTTCGCTAGAAATTCTTTCACATTTGCGCGCGCGCTCGACAAGGGCATCAAAGGAGAGGCGCGTACAGTTCACGTCTGGCTGCCACCACGCCGTGCGCATTAAGTATCGCTGGATTTTCTCTGTGGCCAGCTCCTCAATCGCTTCCGTGGTGTGCCTCAGGCGTGCGATCTTTGTTAGCTCACGCACATCCTCGGCATAATCGCGCAGGTCCTCGCCGGGTTGGCGACGGCGTGCCTCTAAGGCCGCTTTTGCCTCCTCCTCATCGCGCGTACCGAAGCGCAGATCAAGTCGGCGCATCAGCTCCTCTAGCTGTGTCTGCGCGCTTGCGGGTAGGGCTTCCACAAAATCGGCTGCCCGCCCATCCAGATTCATATTAAGTTGACGTAGCGTCTGCGCGTCCGTCCACCCATTAATTTCCTTAGCCCCTAGGACGTTGCGGGCAAATGCTCTCCACGAAGGTGTACCCCGGCCAGTGAATATATGCCTTATTTTCGCGTGGGGTAACGCGGGGGTTCGTACCGCTTCTGACACCATATTGTTAGGGTCGCCGGCCCCCGGGATCTCCCCTGCCTGCGACCCTGTCCGCGAAGTACCGACGCTCCCAGACTCTCCACTAGTGTGGGAGCTGCCGCCGCCGCACTCCTCCCCTGGCGGGGAAAGGTCGTCGCGCTCCTGTTCCCCCCCCTGTGCCGTCCCCCCCCGAGTCCGGGTCTCCTGCCGGTGGGGCATCCCACTCGACCCCCCTGGGACCCGCTAGCGCTTCGCCGGCACCCAAACGCGACGCTCCCCGCCCGCGCAGTCCCACGCACCAATCACACGCGGGTAACAGGGGGTCAAAGGTCGGAGGGTAAGCGACGTCGTTCGTGCTCACTCCGACGCTTGGGGGGATTGGTTTAAACGGGTTTAAAGGGCTATGCGATGGGCATGCGTGCGAGACGGGTATCCGCTCGCAACGCAGGAGTCCGCAGCCGACGGTTCGTAGCGCACACAATCCACGCGGCGCCGCTCCACACACGCGGCGACCACCGAGAACAGCAAGCGAACCCACGCTTCCACTCTCTTTCCACACCCTCGCAAAAACCACCACACCAGTCTGTTATGTAACGACCACCGCGACAGCAAGCGCACCCACGCTTCCGCAATAACCACACCAGTCTGTTATGTAACGACCACCGCGACAGCAAGCGCACCCACGCTTCCACAAAAACCACACCAGTCCGTTATGTAACCGCCGACGATTTATTCCACCGCGTCGGCGAGCCCTTATTTAACCGAGTCAGTCGGGATCAGCGGGGCAGGACCGATCTATCTCTCGATAGTCGGCACTACACTCTACCTGTCCTTCTCCCCTTTACCCTCTCCGGTTTTGCTCTTAAGCTAAGTCCCAACTCCCTCTCTCTCCCTCTTACTCACGGTTCGTCGTCACTGCTGTCTGGTCCTCGCGGCGCGTCGATACGTCCCACGGACGTTCGCGCGGCTGGACTCGGGAGTTGACGGGCCTGGGGTTGACTCGAGTAGCCAGAGACCCTTTTCCTTCGCCCTGACCCGCTTTATTCTTTCTACATCAAAGGGGCTACCTGGTGCCGACTCGCGGGCCAATCAGCTCGCTGGGATCACCCGCCAATCGGTAGGCCCATCTGTATCCCAGCATCCCCCGGGCCGTTGCTTTCAGCGACGTCCGCATCTAAATTTACCTGCTCAGCGACCCTCCAGCCAGAGGGCGACCCTGCTTTCCCGCCGCTCGTGGCTCTGCCCTCCTACCTGCCTGCTGACCCGTGTGTGTTGTGTGTGCTGTCTACCCGCGGTGGCTCGGCAGCCCCGTCGTGACCATGTAATTACAACCAAAGTCACGGCGCCGCGGTGGGTGTTAGCGTCGGGGGAGACCGTCCAATTCCCTGGCTGCAGGAAACCGTGAAGATTATCCCTTTACGAGGGCTTCTGGGTGAAAACCTGTCGGCCAGGGTGTCTCCCCACGCGCTCTAATGGTGGGGGAGTGCGTGCGTGTGTGTTCCGGTGGGGGGGGGGGGTTGGGAGGTGGGGGGGTGGAGCCATGTCGGCCTCGTCGCTCGGAGCGGCGAGATCGCAGGTGGGCCGCCCGCCGATCGGCTCCGTGGCGGCGGCATCACAATACACTACAATATACACTACACGACACTATACACTACACTATACACTACACTATACACTACACTATACACGACTATACAATATACACGACGCTATACACTACTATACACTACACTATACACTACACTATACACTACTATACACTACTATATACACTACACTATAATCAGAATCAGAAAGGGTTTTATTCGCCATGTAACGTCACACCGACACGGAATTTACTTTGGCAGGATGGTGCATACATTCAACATATAGGAATCTAAAATCTTAAATAAGTTTTAAACAAGTCTTACTATAATAAGGGTTAAACGTCTAACACCAAGGGGCTGAAGTATATAAAATTAAATAAATATCGAATATAAAATAGCTTTAAGATATAATTTAAAAATAAAAAAATACAAATAGGGTAACATAGTTAATATCGGCAAGGTGTCGTTATGTAGATCAAATGTTAAAAACAGTGCTAGCCCTTGGCCTTGTTTAACAGGCCAGCAGCAGATGGGAAGAAACTGTTTTTATGGCGTGAGGTTTTGGTCCTGATGGACCGAAGCCTTCTGCCGGAGGGGAGTAGCTGGAACAGAGAGTGTCCAGGGTGGGAGGAATCGGCCACAATCTTCCTCGCTCGCCTCATGGACCTTGTCGTGTGCAGGTCCTCGAGGGTTGGTAGATTGCAGGCAATCACCTTCTCAGCAGTGCGGATGATGCGCTGCAGTCTGCTCTTGTCCTTGGCAGTGGCAGCAGCGTACCAGACGGTTATGGAGGAGGTGAGGATGGATTCAATGATCGCTGTATAGAATTGCACCATCATTGTCTTTGGCAGGTTGAATTTCTTCAGCTGCCGTAGAAAGTACATCCTCTGTTGAGCTTTCTTGGTGAGGGAGCTGATGTTCAATTCCCACTTGAGGTCCCGGGAGAGAATAGTGCCCAGGAAGCGGAAGGACTCTACAATTTTGACTGGGGAGTCTAACAGGGTGATGGGGGTGAGTGGTGCTGTATTCTTCCTGAAGTCCACAACCATCTCAACTGTCTTTAGAGCATTTAGCTCTAAGTTGTTCTGGCTACACCAGGTCACCAGGTTGTCAGCTTCCCACCTATAGTCAGACTCATCTCCACCAGAGATCAGCCCAATGAGGGTGGTGTCATCCGCAAACTTCAATAGTTTGACGGACAGATGATTGGAGGTGCAGCTGTTGGTATACAGGGAGAAGAGCAGAGGGGAAAGGACGCAGCCCTGAGGAGTTCCGGTGCTGATGCTACTATACATTACACTATACACTACTATACACTATACACTACACTATACACTACACTATACACTACACTATACACTACTATTCACTACACTACACACTACACTATACACTACACTATACACTACACTATACACTACTATACACTACACTATACACTACACTATAAACTACACTACACTATACACTACACTATCCACTACACACTACACTACACTACACACTACTATACACTACACTACTATACACTACACTACTATACACTACTATACACTACACTACTATACACACTACTATACACTACACTATACACTACTATACACTACACTATACACTACACGACACTATACACTACACTACACACTACACTATAAACTACACTACACTATACACTACACACTACACTACTATACACTACACTACTATACACTACTATACACCACACTATACACTACACTATACACTACACTACTATACACTACACTATACACTACTATAAACTACACTACTATACAATACACTACTATACACTACACTATACACTACTATACACTATACACTACTATATACACTACTATACACTACACTACACACTACACTACACTATACACTACACACGAGACCGTGCTCCCCCTTGCGCGGTGACGTCACCACTGCCCCTCCCCCAACGCGTTGACGTCACCACTACCCTCACCCCCAACGCGGTGACGTCACCACTAACCCCCTCCCCCAACGCGTTGACGTCACCACTACCCCTCACCCCAACGCGGTGACGTCACCACTGCCCCCCCTTCCCCAACGCGTTGACGTCACCGCCACCATCAATCCCCATCTGAGTGGAGTTTGTCTCTGCGGCCTCCTTGTCCCAACGCGTTGACGTCACTACTGCCCCCTCACACACCCCTCCTCCACCGCGTTGACGTCACCACTGCCCGCCCCTCCCCCAACGCGGTGACGTCACCACTGCCCGCCCCTTTCCCAACGCGGTGACGTCACCACTGCCACCCCCTTCCCCAACGCGGTGACGTTTCCACTGCCCCCTCCCCCAACGCGGTGACGTCACCGCCGACTCAAACCCACCCCTCCCACTATCTGAGTGGAGTTTGTTCTCTGCGGCCTCCTTGTCCCAACGCGTTGACGTCACCACTGCCCCCCCTTCCCCAACGCGTTGACGTCACCACTGCCCCCCCCTGCCCCAACGCGGTAACGTCACCACTGCCCCCCCTCCCCCAACGCGCTGACGTCACCACCGCCCCCCCTCCCCCAACGCGTTGACGTCACCACCGCCCCCCCTCCCCCAACGCGGTAACGTTACCACTGCCCCCCCTCCGCCGACGCGGTGACGTCACCGCCGCCCCCTTCCCCAACGCGGTGACGTCACCGCCGCACCCTTCCCCAACGCGGTGACGTCACCACTGCCCCCCCCTCCGCCAACGCGGTGACGTCACCCCCACCATCTGAGTGGAGTTTGTTCTCTGCGGCCTCCTGCCCCAACGCTCGACTCCATCCCAAAAAAAATCTCTCTCGCAACCCGCCATGAGCAGCAGCGCCGCCGCCGCCTCCTCGACTTCCAGGGTGGAGAAGATCGACATGTCCCTGGGTGAGTCGACGACGACAACGGCGGTGGTGGTGGTGGGGGGGTCCCCCCTGAGGCGAGGTCGCCCTCTCCTATCCAAAGCTCTCGACAACGGCGGCCGTTTGGAAGGATCGGGAATCGAATCGCGCTGTCGCGCACAACGCAAACCCGCGTTCGATTCATACGTGGCGTTCAACGCGGGAATCGGTTTTTACCGAATCGCGTGGCGTGAATCGGTTGCCGCGTTGAAAGCAATTGAAGGCGGGTATCGATTCGACGGGCGGTCGATGTAGCGATTCTTGAATCGACAGTTGACGCCAACCCGTGCCATCGATAGTCCTGTTAAACCTTAGGGTATTAATATTAATAATTATCATTAGAGACTTAATTATCGGAAGCGTTGCTTTTGGAGGATATAAATCAACGTTGTGTAATGTTGTAGGAACACAACTCGTGGAGCCAGACTCCAATAGGGTTTCGTTTTTACTCTTGTGAGGCCCACGGAGCCAGACTAAGGCTCTCAAAGGGTTCAGTGGGCCCCCCCGTTCACGCAGCTCGGGATGTGGCAGTGGAAAAACTGACCCGTGCCATGCAGGCCCCAGCACTGGCCTGGGATGTGTGGCAGTGGAAAAACTCACCCGTGCCGTGCTGGCCCCAAAACTGGCCTGGAATGTGTGCCAGTGGAAAAACTCACCCGTGCCGTTCCGGCCCCAACACTGGCCTGGGATGTGTGGCAGTGGAAAAAATTCACCCGTGCCATGCAGGCCCCAGCACTGGCCTGGGATGTGTGGCAGTGGAAAAACTCACCCGTGCCGTGCTGGCCCCAAAACTGGCCTGGGATGTGTGCCAGTGGAAAAACTCACCCGTGCCATGCAGGCCCCAGCACTGGCCTGGGATGTGTGGCAGTGGAAAAACTCACCCGTGCCGTGCTGGCCCCAACACTGGCCTGGGATGTGTGGCAGTGGAAAAACTCACCCGTGCCGTGCTGGCCCCAGCACTGGCCTGGGATGTGTGGCAGTGGAAAAACTCACCCGTGCCATGCTGGCCCCAACACTGGCCTGGGATGTGTGCCAGTGGAAAAACCCACTCGTACCGTGCTGGGCCCAACACTGACTCAGAATGTGCCAGTGGAAAAACCCACCCGTACCGTGGCGGCCCCAATTCTGGCCTGGATGTGTGCCAGTGGAAAAACCCACCCGTGCCATACCCGGCCCCAGCACTGGCCTGTGATGTGTGCCAGTGGAAAATCCGACCCGTGCCGTGCTAGCCCCAACACTGGCCTGGGATGTGTGCCAGTGGAAAAACTCACCCGTGCCGTGCTAGCCCCTACGTTGACTTGGCTATGAATGTACCAGTGGGGACGGTGTTGGAGAACCAGACCCGTGACTCCCTCCCACCACCACCCCCCCACCACCCCCCCACCACCCCCCCACCACCCCCCCCACCACCCCCGCGTGTCTCTAACCCGAGGGGTCTCCGCTGTGGCCCCTCCCCCTTAACAGATGACATCATCCGCCTGGCCCGCTCGCGAGCGCGGCAGCGGCCTGGTACGGCAGCGGCGAGTCGGAGGCCTCAGCCTGCGGCACAGCCATCACCAGGTGGGCAGGTGTCGTCAACGCATAAATAGTTTACTCATATACTCATAAATATACTCATAAATATACTCATATACTCATAAATATACTCATAAATATACTCATAAATATACTCATAAATATACTCATATACTCATAAATATACTCATATACTCATAAATATACTCATAAATATACTCATAAATATACTCATAAATATACTCATAAATATACTCATATACTCATAAATATACTCATATACTCATAAATATACTCATATACTCATAAATATACTCATAAATAGTTTACTCATATACTCATAAATATACTCATATACTCATAAATATACTCATAAATATACTCATATACTAATACACTCATACACTCATAAATATACTAATACACTCATATACTCATAAATATACTCATAAATATACTCATAAATATACTCATATACTCATAAATATACTCATAAATATACTCATATACTCATAAATATACTCATAAATATACTCATATACTCATAAATATACTCATAAATATACTCATAAATATACTCATATACTCATAAATATACTCATATACTCATAAATATACTCATATACTCATAAATATACTCATAAATATACTCATATACTAATACACTCATACACTCATAAATATACTAATACACTCATATACTCATAAATATACTCATAAATATACTCATAAATATACTCATATACTCATAAATATACTCATAAATATACTCATATACTCATAAATATACTCATAAATATACTCATATACTCATAAATATACTCATAAATATACTCATATACTCATAAATATACTCATATACTAATATACTCATATACTCATAAATATACTCATAAATATACTCATATACTCATAAATATACTCATATACTCATAAATATACTCATAAATATACTCATATACTCATAAATATACTCATATACTCATAAATATACTCATAAATATACTCATATACTAATACACTCATACACTCATAAATATACTAATACACTCATATACTCATAAATATACTCATAAATATACTCATAAATATACTCATATACTCATAAATATACTCATAAATATACTCATATACTAATACACTCATACACTCATAAATATACTAATACACTCATATACTCATAAATATACTCATAAATATATACTCATATACTCATAAATATACTCATAAATAGTTTACTCATATACTCATAAATATACTCATAAATATATACTCATATACTCATAAATATACTCATAAATAGTTTACTCATATACTCATAAATATACTCATAAATAGTTTACTCATATACTCATAAATATACTCATAAATATACTCATAAATATACTCATATACTCATAAATATACTCATATACTCATAAATATACTCATATACTCATAAATATACTCATATACTAATATACTCATATACTAATATACTCATATACTCATAAATATACTCATAAATATACTCATATACTCATAAATATACTCATAAATATACTAATATACTCATAAATATACTCATATACTAATATACTCATATACTCATAAATATACTCATAAATATACTCATATACTCATAAATATACTCATAAATATACTAATATACTCATAAATATACTCATATACTAATATACTCATATACTCATAAATAGTTTACTCATATACTCATAAATATACTCATAAATATACTCATATACTCATAAATATACTCATAAATATACTCATATACTCATAAATATACTCATAAATATACTCATAAATATACTCATATACTCATAAATATACTCATAAATATACTCATAAATATACTCATATACTCATAAATATACTCATATACTCATAAATATACTCATAAATAGTTTACTCATATACTCATAAATATACTCATAAATATATATACTCATATACTCATAAATATACTCATAAATATATATACTCATATACTCATAAATATACTCATATACTAATATACTCATATACTCATAAATATACTCATAAATATACTCATATACTCATAAATATACTCATAAATATACTCATAAATATACTCATATACTCATAAATATATATACTCATAAATATACTCATAAATATACTCATATACTAATATACTCATATACTCATAAATATACTCATAAATATACTCATATACTCATAAATATACTCATAAATATACTAATATACTCATAAATATACTCATATACTAATATACTCATATACTCATAAATATACTCATAAATATACTCATATACTAATATACTCATATACTCATAAATATACTCATAAATATACTCATAAATATACTCATATACTCATAAATATACTCATAAATATACTAATATACTCATAAATATACTCATATACTAATATACTAATATACTCATAAATATACTCATAAATATACTCATATACTAATATACTCATATACTCATAAATATACTCATAAATATACTCATAAATATACTCATATACTCATAAATATACTCATAAATATACTCATAAATATACTCATATTCTCATAAATATACTCATACATATACTAATATATACTAATATACTCATATACTAATACATATACTCATAAATATACTAATATACTAATAAATATACTCTATACTCATAAATATACTAATACACTAATATACTAATACACTAATATACTAATACACTAATATTGTAATGCACTAATACACTAACATACTAATATACTAATACACTAATATACTAATAAACTAATACACTAATATACAAATACACTAATATATACGATTACACCAATATACTAATACACTAATATACTAATACACTAATATACTAATACACTAATATACTAATAAATATACTAATATACAAACACACTAATATACTAATACACTAATATACTAATACACTAATATACTAATTCACTAATATACTAATACACTAATATTGTAATACACTAATACACTAACATACTAATATACTAATAAACTAATACACTAATATACTAATACACTAATATTGTAATGCACTAATACACTAACATACTAAAATACTAATACACTAATATACTAATAAACCAATACACTAATATACGAATATACTAATAAATACACTAATACACTCATATACTAATACACTAATATACTAATACACTAATATACTAATAAATATACTAATACACTCATATACAAATACACTAATATACTAATACACTAATATACTAATACACTAATATACCAATACACTAATATACTAATACACTAATATACTAATACACTAATATACTAATACACTAATATACTAATACCCTAATATACTAATACACTAATATACTAATACACTAATATACTAATAAATATACTAATATACAAATACACTAATATACTAATACACTAATATACTAATACACTAATATACTAATACACTAATATACTAGTACACTAGTATACTAATACACTAGTATACTAATACACTAATATACTAATACACTAATATACTAATACACTAATATACTAATTCACTAATATACTAATAAATATACTAATATACAAATACACTAATATACTAATACACTAATATACTAATACACTAATATACTAATACACTAGTATACTAATACACTAGTATACTAATACACTAATATACTAATACACTAATATACTAATTCACTAATATACTAATAAATATACTAATATACAAATACACTAATATACTAATAGACTAATATACTAATACACTAATATACTGATTCACTAATATACTAATACACTAATATTGTAATACACTAATACACTAACATACTAATATACTAATACACTAATATACTAATAAACTAATACACTAATATACTAATACACTAATATACTAATACACTAATATACTAATACACTAATATACGAATACATTAATATACTAATACACTAATAAACTAATACACTAACATACTAATATACTAATAAATACACTAATACACTAATATACTAATACACTAATATTGTAATACACTAATACACTAACATACTAATATACTAATACACTAATATAGTAATACACTAATACACTAACATACTAGTACACTATTATACTATACACTAATATACTAATACACTAGTATAGTAATACACTAATACACTAACATACTAGTACACTATTATACTAATACACTAATATACTAATACACTAACATACTAGTACACTATTATACTAATACACTAATATACTAATACACTAACATACTAGTACACTAATATACTAAATTTTTATTTAAAGCTTTCGTGACTGCAGGGATTCATATTCTTGGTTCTTTCGGTAAAGTTACCACCGCGTAGAAGGGAAACAATAAAATAATAAAAATATAAAACAATAAAATTCTCACGACGTTTCGACTGCAACACACGCATTCATCATCAGGTGTGAAAACCACAGCAAGAAATATTTGAAAAAAGTGGCGGTGTTTTTAACGTTAGCACCACGGAGAGCGATTTGGCAGTTTGTTAAGGTGGACGAGTCCATCTATGTTCGGAAAAGAGGAGGGGGGGAGACGAAAATAATGGATGCTGTCTGAAAGCCACCGTAAGCGTGAACAATCAATTAAGACCCGAAATGGTTTATCAAATCCTTCCAATGATTGCTAAGCCAGAATCCATCTTCTCGGTCGAAATTGTCTCTGTGCTTGTATATGTGGATAGCCCCATGAACGAATCTCTCATGGTAGCCAGATGGCTTGCAGAGAACCTCTGTCTTGGAAAAGTCAATGTCATGTGAGCCTACTGAATTATAACAGTGATCTGCCACGGCCGAGGTGTTGGTCCTACCGTGTTTAAGGTCTGCTTTGTGTTCACGAATGCGGTCCGAGACATGGCGTTTGGTTTCTCCAATGTAACTACTGCCACAGAGGCAACTTAGTTTGTAGACACCAGGGTACTGTATGTCCGGAATCACATCTTTTACAGACGGAACCAGATCACCGATTTTATGTAATGTGTTGAAACGGACCTGGATCTTGTGTTTATTCAAGATTTTGGAGATCTTTTTTGTGATCCCCGCAATGTAGGGTAAAGTGATGGTTTTGAAAGGCTCCTCAAGAGGGTCCTTCTTCATGGTTTGAGTGATAGCTTTGCGGATTGTATAGTCGGAGTAACCATTAGCCTTAAGAGCTTGGTGTACGTGCTTGAGTTCACTGCCTATGTGTTCCTGGTCGGATATGCATTGGGCTCTATGGTGCAGAGTCTTGATGAGGGAATTCTTCTGTGATGGATGGTGGTGGGAATCCGGTTTCAGGTAAGCATCCGTATGGGAAGCTTTCCTGTAGACAGAGTGGCTCATTGAACCATCAGGTCTCTTTTTAATTAGGTAGCTTGCCATCTTTTTCGACATCCATGGTAAATATGATGGCTGGGTGTATTGAATTGATGTGGTCGAGGAGTTGGCCTATGGAAGAGGTACGTGGATGACACTTTTGTCATCTGGCCACGTGGCCGGCCTGCTCTAGCAGCAGCTCAGGGGGGCGTTACATCCGGTGAAATATGAAACGGCGACATCGTTAATTTCTGAATAGGGTTTGCCGCACGTGGTGCTTGCCACCCACCCCCTCGTGTGCCATCGGCCTGCCACAACTTGCTCACAGCACTTGCCCCGACAGCGTGCGTAGGCTACACGGGGGTCCTTTGTCTTTGTGCTCGCAGCACCGAAGCGCGTGGCCGTGCGGACTGGGCTTGCTGCGAGGAGACGTGCCGTGCCTTACCGGGTACTCACCGCAAGAGTGGCCCACTCACTCACCCACTCG